CCAAGAGCTAGCAGGCAGTTGCTTACAGGGAGCAGATGAGTGTAAGCGGGATGGATGAATGTGTCACCATGTTTTCTCTTTGATGAGTCTGAATGCAGAAAGTGCTAAATTTGTATAAAATTGTGAGATTCCTTCCAGAATGTCTGGCTTATCATCATGAGCTTCTTTCAAACGGAATAGGATCTTAGTGCTCTCCAGCATCGTTCCTGGGCCACACCTTCCCAAACGAATAAGAGCAAACCATTCAGGCAGGATGCCCATGCCTTTTTTCTTGTCTCTGCCCATACCTTACTCACTGTTTAATGTTCTTCCCCAGATCACAGTATATGGGTTGTTCAAAGCATTGTGCCACTGTTGCCACCATTAGCTTCTTGCTGTCTCTCCCACATGCTCTCTGCCCCTCTCTCTAATTTTCCCTTTACTTGTTTTTGGCTTTTACTTCTTGTATCCTGGGAATTCAGCTGTGACTTTATGAATTGCCATCAGAACCTCAGAATTCTTGTGACACCTATGCCCTCAATATGCAGAGTTGATAGGGACAAGCAACTTAGACACTGGCTACTTAAAAATGGGGATGCTATAAAGACATGAAGTGGCTGACTTACAAGTTTTCAAGAGAGAGTTTAGTTTCAGAGTGTGCAGGGGAAGGTAGAATCCCCACTGAATAGTTTTCATGTTGTCTAGGTGGGTCTGGTGAAAGGAAATGGGGATAGGACTCTTTGGACTCAATAGTGAATAATCGTTATCATGACAAATTGCAGCTGTCACAACTGTAAAGGTATATGTTGTGTAACAAAAAGTGGGGAGTAGGTAATCTTACATTCCAGGAACAGAGGACCCTAGAACCATCAAGGGATGGTTCCACATGAGTGGAACCTGGGACCCTAACCAGAGAAGCAGGGCACAAGAGATGGAGGCAGAAGTGATGGCTGGAGAGATAGAGCAGCTGAGGACTCAGGATTCATGGAACGAGAATAGCTGTGTGCTGGTGGCGAGGAGGCAGGCTTGCAGAATGTGCACTTTGTTTAAATGATTATATATTTTTGTGTAGATCAAAAAAAAAAAAAAAAACCCAAAATCAGAGGGATTAGAAGCAAATACTGTTAACCAATGATGCATGAAGGCAATTGTAATCATTGCACTGAAACAAAATACGATATGTTAAGTGCAAAACCAATGTTCTCCCATGTAAACTATCGCTCAATTCACAATAAAAGCTTTAAAAAAAATTCTTCTGACAGTATCTAACCTCCAGGGACTCATCAGAAGCCACATCTGACATGAGTGACGCCTAGAAAGATCTGACTCTGAACTATAGCTGTGTGACAGACTCTGAGGTCACAGGAAGGGCTTGCTCTGTTTTAGTAATGCATTCCCATGTTCTCCAGTGAGCCGGTGGGACCTATGTCTGGGAGTTTATGTCCAGCTGAGGGGCTTCCCTTACAAACTGTGTCCATTTTAGCCTTTTGGATAGAATCTTTCCTATAATATCATGGACATGTCTATGTTGGGCTACCCTAACAATGTTCATCAAAGGGATTTTATTTGCCTTTGTGTCTGGCATTAGCTCTGATACACAGTAGTAGGCACTCAGTGAGTCTTGTTGGGTGAAAAGTTAATGACTGTGGATAAAAAAATTACTTTCAATATCTTGTTGCAGTGTTCTTTTGAAAATGCAGATAACCGAAAAAGAAGAGATTTCCATAATTCTGTCACCTAGTTGTTGTTGTTAAGTACCGTAGAGTCGGTTCCGACCCATAACGACCCTGTACAGGGTTTCCGCGGCTGTCAATCTTTACAGAAGCAGAAAGCCTCATCTTTCTTCCACAGAGCGGCTGGTAGTCTCGAACTGCTGACCTTAAGGTTCACAGCCCGATTTGTAATCCCTACGCTACCAGAGCTCCTTATCACCCAGTGTGGGGGCTTGATTATATTTTGGGCATACCCTCCTTGTGTCTATTTGTATACATTTTTTCTTCTTTTTCTAAATATGATCATAGAGTACACATATTGGTTGGTATATACTGTTTTACTCAACAGCATATTTTCCCTCTTTCTGGATGCCATTAGTATTTTTAATGGTTCATGGGATTCTGCTGAATGGATGTACCATAGTTTACAACCCCTATCTTTAGGAGTCTAAGTTGTTTCCAACTTTTATTAACAGTTGTTTGTATCTTGTGACTAAACTGATGCAGGCATCCATGCTGATTTCCTTGGGTAGTTGAATCATGTTGAACACTTATAATTGTCATCAGTATTGGTCACTCGATTTTGTAACATTAACATGCTCTCAATCCTGATGAGGATACAGGACCATTGGCTGAATGCTGATGATGTGTGGTGTCTTTTGTGCTCTTGTGTTTGTTTTTAAGAATAATACTGTGCTGCCTGTGGTTCCTTCATTTTTCAGTCTGTTTTCCCCTTAGTTGGCTTCTCTGGTCTTTGTTTCTGTTGTTCCAAGTTTGTTGTGGGCCGTGTTGGTCAGTAAACCATGTTTTAGAAGGTCTTGAGTGAAGACTGGAGAGGATTTCCTTGGTTTATTGTTGTTGTTATGTGCCATGGAGTCAGTTCCAACCCATAGCGACCCTGTACAGGCTTTCTGAGGCTGTAAATCTTTACAGGAGCAGAAAGCCTCATCTTTCTCCCACAGAGCAGCTAGTAGTTTCAAACTGCTGTCCCTGAGGTTCGCAGCCCGATTCGTAACCAGAACGCTACCAGAGCTTTTTATTTTTAATTTTGGCTTCATTCATATTACATGCATACTGTTGTTGTTGTTAAGTGCTGTTGAGTTGGTTCCCACTAATAGTGACCATGTATAGGGCTTCTGAGGAGCAGCTGTTGGATTTGAACCACTGACCTTGTGATTAGCAGTCCAGTGATCATCTTATAGCGGCACATCAGGACTCCTTATTACATATATAACATTTTCCATTATAAGCGTTAGTATTTTATTGTGTTTTCAGTGGTGGTTCACACAGCAGTTTAGGTTCTGATCCAAAAATTTCTGTACAAATTCTTTAGTGACACTGGTTACATTCTTCATAGTGTGTGGACATTCCTTCCCATTATTTTTGTTCTGGTTGCTCGGTTTTCCTGCCTCTTACGTTATCATTTTTGTTTTAAAGTAGTTGTTGACGGTTGGATCTGACATAGGTGAATATATATATA